GCCTGCCAAAGTCCTCCCTGCCCTGCTTCTCCTCTGATGGAGGTGATGTGAATATGTATGTCAGTCTTTCTTGGGGGTGGATTAAAACCTTCACACACACCCCATGGGCGCTAGACAGCATGGCAGGCTTGGTGGCTCCCAGCCTGTGTCGGGCAGGGTGGAGGCGGGCTGGGCAGACTAACCTCTTCCTATGCACTGGGCCAGGAAACACTGTGTTCACAGAACTATGGAGAGTTCTATTTTTGGGGTCTTAATACATCATAAAATCCCCTTGCCTGGAAACAAAAAGAGTACTATATCAGAAGTGGTCTTTTTTAGGAAATTATTAGCTTCTACAACTAGAAATAAGTAGATTACATTTTTTAACAGATTAATTTAATCCCCATAACAAGGAATGTTTAAAGGAATATAGTCATGCTATTATTAAATGTTTCCAAAGGACAAATGGAAGCTTGGAAGCTTGGACTGCTTTTCAGATTTTCCAGATTTAGAAAATCTAACCCTACGTCAACTCTTAATAAAAGCACTCGTTCCCAGCAATTATGTGTATGTATGTGTTTATGTCTGCATTTTTAACAACTTTTGTGGTTGTAGTTTATAGAGCATAAACATCATCTGTTTTTTAACATATTATATAATTTGTTTTTAGCAAATTTACGGAGTTGTGTGACCATCACCACAGTCGAACTTTAGAGCATTTCTGTCACCCCAAGATGGTCTCTTACTTTTTAATTGCAAGAAGTGGTATTAGAAAAATAATAATTTTAATTGATTGCTTCCTGTGTTTGCATCACCAAGGTTGTCTTCTTACTAATGAATGACCTTTGCTGATATCTCTTCCAGGCAAACACGGGACAGCCGGAGCAAAGCTCTTGCAATCTTATCAGGAGCTGAGGTGAGTGCTGTACGAGGGCAGACCGTCCTGGCCCTCCCCTGGCCTGGGGAAAAAAGGACGCTGAAAGAACTTCTAGATCTCCTGACTTTCAGACGTGGCTGCTCTGGAATGTGACTTTTTTTTTTTTTTTTTTAATGATAAAGTGCCTGGAAAAGATTGAAACAGAGATCTTTCCAGATTCTTATGAAGGGCCTTCTTGGGAGCTAGCAGAGCAGTTTCTCACTAAAGGTTTTATTTCCTAAATTCTCCTGAAATGTGGTACGAAAATGAGATATTATTTTTGAGGGCATTTTAAATGAAATTCTGAACCAGGCATTTGCTTTTATGAATCATTTGTATCTCCAACATCATGCCTGGTAACTGACTCCTCAGACATCCGTGGAATAAAATTGGCAGCAGTGAGGCATGGTCTGCGAGATGCTAACTTCTTTTTTTTTTTTAAGATTTTATTTATTTATTTGAGAGAGAGAGAGAGAGCACAAGCAGGGGAGAGGGAGAAGCAGGCTCCCTGCAGAGCAAGGAGCCGGAGGTGCTCGCTCCCAGGACCCCAGGATCATGACCCGAGCTGAAGGCAGACGCTTAACTGACTGAGCCACCCAGGCGCCCGAGATCTAACTTCTTGATACAAAATCCTAAACACCTAGCACTCTTGGAGCTAGCAACAATTCACGCACCTGATTGCACCAAATAAATTAAAGTATTACTGAAAGCTCCCCCCCCCCGGCTTTTTTTTTTTTTTGGCCCATTATGAGATTTTCCAGTCTTGGGACTTCATTTTTTTTTTTTCTCCCCCATCAACTTCTTCTTCTTTTTTTTTAAGATTTTATTTATTTATTTGAGAGAGAGAGAGTGAGTGAGCAGGCATGAGCAGGGGGGAAAGGCAGAGGGACTCAATCACAACACCCTGGGATCATGACCTGAGCTGAAGGCAGATGCCTAAACGACTGAGCCACCCCAGTGCCCCTCCCCCATCAACTTCTGATTCCTCTCATGCTTGATGTTGGCATGGCGTTTTGGGCACTTCTGTTGGGATTTCTGCTGAGAGAACGCACACGGCCACAGGGGACACACACCCGGTCTGGGCTCTGGAGCGGCCGCGCTACTTTAGACGACATGCGCAGCACACAAGGCTTGGGCACGGGGCAGCTCGGCGCTCATTTGCTGCATCCCGATACCAGGAAATTGCACCCTGCCTAGAGGAGCAGATCCATGCAGGGCCGCTGGATCCTCTTCTAAAACATGAGGAAGTAAAAGCAAAAAGCAAAAAGCAAAAAAAAAAAAAGTCTGAGAACTTGAACGAGAGGATGATGGCGAGTCCCATGCATTTGTAAGACTTATAGTTGGATCATTCATAACCCGTTTTTTATTCCTGTATTTTTCCTTGGCAGCAAAATTTCTGTGGTTCCTCCTACCCCACCTCCTCTGAGCGAAAGCCAATGCAGTAGCAGCTCGAACAGGGTAATGTGTCTGTTCTGTGTGCCTCCCTGGGGAAGGGGCAGTGGGAGAGAGGCAGAGGAAGAACGGGGTCTGAGAGGTTGGGCCAAGGTCGTTGGAGCAAAGGGATCCGCCTGTAGCAGAAGCAGGCCATGGAGGGCGGCAGAGAATGGAGGCCAGAAGTGCTGGGCCTGCCCAGTGTCTGTGCTCCCACTATGCTTTGGGGGCCATGGGATCATCTGCATTAACAATGACTCACCTTCTGTTTGCACCCCACATCCTCACCTGCGTCCCACGTCCTCACCTGCACTCTCTGTCCCCACCTACACCCCACATCCCCACCTGCACCCCACATCCCTGCCTGTGCCCCACATCCACCCCCTACCACTTTACTCTTGTCATTTTGTTGGCTGTCTTCCTTATGTGTGCACTGCGCTCTTGAGTGTGGGGGTCTGAATAGGCTGCAGTGTGTTGGGGGTCTCTGGGGATGTGAAGAGAAATAAATACAGGTTGATTCACAGGTGTGTGATTCATAGGTGTGGGAGTGCCTGGGGTGTGTGTGTGTGTGTGTGTGTGTGTGTACCTTTTGAGTATTTATAGATGCTAACATAAAATAGGCCAGGACCATTTCTGTCCACAGAAATTAGTGGTGTCATCTTAGAGAAGTTACCTGGATTCCCACTTGGGAGATGGAAATAGTTATACTCCTCTGGCTTGCTTCCCAAGGCTGGTGTGAGAAACTAATGAAATAATGTCTGTGCTGGTACTTAGAAACTGTAAAGTGCCATGAAAACACATGGTCTTGATTATTTTCATTATTATTATTCTGTGAATTAAAGAGAGTAACTATATCTGTACATAGAAAGGCATGTTCATGTTCATATGCTAGTGAGAGAGAGAGAGAGTATATTTATTCTTTTTCCAGTTTCAAACTGAGTCCCTGGAATGACCTTCAAAATTCTGCTCCACTTTCTCCTTGAGATTCTAAATCCTCTGAAGTTGTCCCAGCAGGGATGTGCTCAAGACATATTTCCTGGATCGATGGATGGATGGAGGGATGGATGGATGGATAGAAGGATGTAGGGAGGGAGGGATAGGAGGGAGGGATGGAGGGAAGCAGGGAAGGAGGGAGGGATGGATGGAGGAAGAGGTGGATGGGGGACTGATGGAGGGAGGGATGGATGGATGGAGGGATAGAGGGAGAGAAGAGTGGGTAGAGAGAGGGAGGGTGGGATGAATAGAGGGATGAATAGTTAGATGGAGGGATGGATGGTTGGAAGGGTGGAGGGAGGGACAGATAGATGGATGGACAGATGGATGGATGGATGATAGATAGATGATGGATGGATGGAGGGGTGTATGGATGGAGGGATGGATGGATGGAGGGGTATATGAATGGAGGGATAGATGGATGAAGGATAGATGGATGGACAGAGGGGTGGATGGATGGATGGAGGGGTGGATGAGGCAGGGTGTGTGGATGGAGGGATGGATGGACGGAGGGGTGGATGGATGGAGGGATGGATGGATGGATGACGGGTAGATGGATGGATAGATGGAGGGGTGTATGGATGGAGGGATGGGTGGATGGAGGGGTGTATGGATGGAGGGATGGGTGTATGGAGGCGTGTATGGATGGAGGAATGGATGGATGGAAGGATGGGGGGAGGGACGGACAGATGGATGGACAGATGGATGACAGATGGATGGATGGATGGAGGGGTGTATGGAGGGGTATATGGATGGAGGGATGGATGGATGGACGGAGGGGTGGATGGATGGAGGGGTGGATGGATGGACAGAGGGGTGGATGGATGGATGGAGGGGTGGATGGATAGATGGGAAGATTGACAGAGGAGTGGATGGATGGAGGGGTGGATGGAGGGATGTATGGATGGAGGGATGGATGGATGGAGGGGTGGAGGGGTGGATGGAGGGGTGGATGGAGGGGTGGATGGAGGGGTGTATGGAGGGATGTATGGATGGAGGGACGGATGGATGGATGATGGATGGATGGAGGGGTGGATGGATGGAGGAATCGATGGGTAGATGGGAAGATGAACAGAAGGGTGGATGGAGGGGTGTATGGATGGAGGGATGGATGGACGGAGGGGTGGATGGATGGATAGATGGGTGGATGGAAGGAGGGATGGGGATGGGGAGGGATGGAGGGATGGGACTTTGAAGGGAAAAGTGACCTCCTTTCTGTCATTTTTGCTTCCTCTTTCTTCTCACTCCTGCTTAGAGGGGTAGAACTAACTCCTTGGCTCCAGGCTGGTGCTCTGAGCCTGGTACCACCATGGGCCACTGTGTCCTGTGCCCTTTGCCGTGTTGGCATCTGCTCTGTGTGGGGTTGGGGTGTGTCATACAAGAGCTGGCTAAGGAAGCAGGAGTCTACCCGAGCATGGCCTGAGCCAGAGAAATGTCGGTCATTATTCCTAGGATGTAGTTGTTACCATGTTACCCCGCTGCTGATGCCCCTTCCTGAAATGGGGTGTCAAACCTCAGAGGAAAGAAGCTGAGTAAGAGGGTCCCCTCTCCAGACATGCACGCACACACACCTGCATGCACACACACACCCGCACGCACCTGGAGCCCATGCACTCTGCTCACACCTGCCAGTGTTTGGGGGGCAGCAGCCTGCAGGCTGCTGGGGCAGACACGAGCCTCCAAATATAACTCTCGTTCTCTCTCCTCTGTCTGTTTTAGTTACAGGAACTTGGTCAGTTTAAAGGATTTAATAAATCCGTGGAAAATTTGTTTCTGTCTGTTACCACCCACATGAAAAGTAAGTGGATACCTCTCCATGTGTTCTCCCCACCACCAGCCAGGCCAGCCAAGCCCACCGGCAAGGGGACCTCTGTCTCCAGCTCCTGGGGACAGCCACAGCCCCGGCCCTTCACCCCTCCACCTGCAGAGCAGGCCTCTGGTCTCCTGGGGGCAGAGGAGACCCCCTTCGGCCCCCTGGACTGGCTCAGTTTACCCCCACTGCTGCCCAAACCTGGCAGAGCTCAGCACGTGGTGGGAAGGAGCCGGCTCGGACCAGTGTGGGCAGGTGCTGCAGCCTCTTCCATGGCCCCACAAAGACGGGGGGTGGGACGGCTCCAGTGAATGAGATCTGGGAGCAAGCTCTCCCGCCACGCATGGCCCAGTGTCTGTCGTTTGCACGGAACTGCTTGTCCGTTCTTCTTTCGGTCTTGGTCAATTTATCTTCTTCAATAGGCAGTAATCATGTGATTTGCAGATGCAAGGGACCCAGAACTACCACTGTTTAGAGTCTTGCCTCTTTCAATGTTCTTTCTGCTCATATATTCTTCCCTGTTGATCTTAAACCGCAAACCCCAGAGAACAGCCCCTGTTCAGGCCTGCAAAGGTGCCCAGAGAGACGGTCCCAGGGTGGGGGGCAGGGGGTCTCAGGCACCCACTCCCTTTCACGGTGCTTCTGTTTGGCTTCTCCCCATGCCGCTGCATAGGGATGGGCTCAGTGTTGTCCCTTGGCCTTGAAACAGTCTTATTACTTGATTTTAATTAGTTCTCCATATTCCCCACGAGCCCTTCTGAGCTGCCTCGTGACAACTCAAATCAAAGCACCACTTTTCAGACAAGCAGAAAGGTGACTGTCTCATGAGACAGTCTGTCCCCCTCTGCTTCAGAAAGACGAAGCAGCCGAATTTCGTGCCGCCTGCTTGCTAACAGAGCTCGGAGGTTTAAAGTCACCCCGTTAGTCTGCCTGGCTTTCAGACGACATCTGCCCTCTGTGTGCACCAGCCTTGGACGTGGGTTTCCAGCTGTAACAGCTGCTTGAACTCTGAGCCCCTGGCTCTGTTCCTGCTGCCGCTCTAATTGCCGAGACTTCTCAGCGTCTCTTTCTAGAAGCATAGCCTCTACCCAAATCCACGCAGCTTCTGTGCATCCCCTCCCACCACCGTATTCTGGAGTCCTGCCTCAGCATTCACTCTGACCTGGTAATCCCTCAGCCAGACACCCAGAGAGGCAGGACACACGTTTTATCTTGTCCCAGGTCACACACCCTCTGACGCATGCTGGGACCCACACACGGGTACGCTTGGATGGCTTACGTACCCATAGCCCCGTCTGAGACAGGCTCACCCGTTTGAGACTCGCCAGTTTAATACCTTGAGTGTAATGATGATGCCATCCATATAAATCAGCAGACCCAGGTGGAGAGCCGGGGCTAATCCCTGGGGCGTGGGGGTGGGGGGTTCCAAAGAGCAGAGTAGCATCGTGTCTCTGCCATGGGACATGGATTGAACCCCTTAACCTGCGCCCCCTCCCTGTTTGTTCAGGCTCTAGTACTTCATGGGATGCCAAACCCTCAGCCCAGAGGCAGGGATGAAAAAACCCAGCTTTCTGGGCCCATGGGAGGGATGGTCTGCCCACCGGCTCTCCCAGGTGCTCCGGGGGCTTCGGGAAGGGGCACAGACTACAGACCCTTCATCCGGTCTCTGCCTCAGGGCGTGCAGTAGGGTGGGGCTGACTCCCTTTTCTTCAGGTCCTCAGCTGGTGGGCACATGTCCCTCTTGATCCTTTGTGCGGCCTGTTTCCTACAGAAGTGGTACAGAGGACAGCCTCTTTCTGGTGTCACCTGGGGTCTCTGGGGGGACGGCTGGAGGGGGCCTTGGCCCGAAGAGTTTGGGAAGCTGCCCCAGGGCTACAACCCCTGGCAGCTGAGGTTGCCCAGGGAAGCCAATCTGGCTGGAAGAAATGAGCAATTCCAGCCCTTTTTATCATGGCTGCATTTCTAGGAGATTCCAGCACCCTGGCCCTGCTTCGAAGGGGAGGAGGAATAAGAACGTTGATTTTCGCTTCAGGGCCCTTCTGTGCTTCTTGCTGTTAGTTTTCCTTTTCACCCGATCATGCCGATTCCGAGCCTAGTCGTTAGAAGCTGAATAGCTTGGGAGGCACCCCCACCTGCCTTGTCTATGCACGTAAATGGACCAGATGAAGGCACAGGCTTTGGGGTGAGTGCCATACAGATGGCAGGGGGAGGCCACCGTCCCCCAAGTGGGGGCTTCTCCTCCTGGGGCTCTCACACCCTTCGTAGCGGGGCTGGGGTTTGGCGTATGAGGAGTTCATGTTCACTGTCAGCTTCGAGGGTCTGGTGTGTGCCGGGACGCTGCTAGCTTCCGGGTGCGGAAAGATGCCCCGCGGTTTCCGGAGGGTAGACCTGAGGGCAGTGTGGACAATGGTGCTCTCACACAGGAGAGGTCCCACACGTCCTGGTGGGAAGGAAAATGCCCCGAGGTTTTGGGGGGCAGATGAGGTTCTCCTCTAGAGAGAAGAGACGCTCTGCAGAAGTACGCCCTGGCAGCACATGCAGGAGGTACCCAAGAAATAGCATCTAGAGGAGTGGATCAGGAGACAGGATGCTGTGGAGCCGGGCTGTCCAGTATGCTAACAGCAGGTGGCTCCTGAAATATGGCCTGCCCGAAAAAAGGGTAAATACACCAGATTCCGGAAACTTAGTGTTAAAAAAAAAAAAGTTAAACATTTCATTAATTGTACAGCACGGGGAAAACAGTAATATTGAAACAATCTTACATGGGGAAGGATGGTAACTAGACTTAGTGGGGTGATCACTTCATAATGTGCACCAGAAACTAGGGTGTATTCTGTGTCCATTACGCAGTTAAAAATTTCATTAATTTTCATACTGATTATATATTTTAACAATATTTTGGGTATATTGTGTTACATGAAACACAGTGTTAAAATCAGTCTTACTTGTTTCTTTTTTAAATGAGGCTACTAGAAAATTTGAAATGGCATACGTGAGCAACATTATTATCTATTGGAGAGCGCTGCTCGAAAGATAGTTTCAAGGTCATCTTTGAGAGAGACAAGGACCCCGGGGAAAAGGGAAGACGTTTTGGGGGGACAAAATCATCTTTGAGGTGGTTTGCTCGCTTCTGGGTATGGATTTCTTCCTTCTCACTTTATTCACCTTTATTCTCGGCCACTATGACACTGCAAAAACAAGTTGTATTTCCAGGATTTGCTTATTAAAATAATTATAGGGGTACCCTGAATGTGCTTCCACCTCTCTTCAAAGGGTCCCAAGAGATGATATTTAGTTATAAGTCTTTGTAAGGAACCCCTAAAAAGCCGGCTGGTTTGTGAGGTTGCCTTTTTTGTGCTTGGACAACCGGCTGCTCGTGGTGTGTGGCCCAGGATGCAGAGTAACCTGTCCGGAAGACCTCCTTCTCGCTCCCGCCCTGACGGTGGCTCTCTGCCCCCAGAAGCACGTGGCCACGTGGTCACCTTTTGGGAATCCGGCTCTTCTGTCCCGTGCACGGCGCGGTGTGGCCCGTGTCCAGCACGCCGTGTCTGGGGATGCTCCCCCCGGCCCCGGAGCTGGGTGTTGGATGTGCCATCCTCCCCACGCAGCAAGCCTCACCTCGGGAGACCTTGGGGGCTCCTCGGGGTGTGGTTGCAGGGGCTCCCAGAGGAGGGCCCCACGAGTCTGTCAAAGCTGTGCGCTCCCACCTGTCATCCCTTGTATTTGTTTTCTAGAGCTTTCCAAGTCCCAGAACGACATGACCTGTGACAAGCAGCTCCGGGCCACGGGTCCCAGGCAGCGTGCTGGCCGGACGGAGAGGAGGAGCCAGTCGGACACTGCTATCAACATCACCACCAGGGTACTCCCCAAGGCGCCCGGGCCGCCCCGAGAGCCGCTGCCAACCCATTTCCTCTGTAGATTTCGTCTCTTATTTTATAGCACCACATTAAGCATTCTGAAAAAAAAACGTAATTATAAACCCCTCTCTATTGGGAAGGCCTGGCCAAATGATGGTCAAATTTCAGGGTCGATTTGGAAAATAGTTGAGAGCAGGGAAAAGCTTCAGCCTAATCCCGAGCCCCTGGGACTTCTGGGTGTCTGCCGGAACTCCCTGTGGGCTTCAAGGCCACCCCAAAGGCAAGGGGCCCACCTGCAGGGCCGAGATGGGCCAGGTGATTCCCTCAGGGAGGGTCAAGAGGCCTTTCTACTTGGCAACAACCTCCAGTTAAAATCTGTCCTGGTCTCTGATAGAAACCACTAAAAACATAAATGCTGCATGACCCCCGGCAATCACGAGGGAGGCGCTCTCCGGGTATCTAAGCTGCAAGAGAGAGTGCACCTAATAAAGGCTTTTAAGGAAATAGTCTGGCTTTCCACCAGGATTAACCAAGTCTGAAGCAGATGCGCTGGGACAGGGGAGAAAGCGACTTTAGAATCAGAACACCTGCATTCTGGTCCAGCTGAGGTGACCTGGCTAGGGCAGGTCCCACCACCTGGCTGTTGACAGGGTCAATAGGACCACTCTGGTTGGCTGGACAGGGTAGGTTCCCCTTCCTGCAGCTGCGGGCTCCACTCAGGATGTCCCCAGATAGACTCCCCAGGCAAGCGGAGGGGGTTAACCCCCACTCTCCTGCGGGAACTTCCACACACAGTCTCAAGGTTTCAGATTCTGCCTCCATCCATGACCCTTTACCTTGGGCATGTCACATGAACTCCCTGAGCACTGATGTGCTCTTGGCGAAATGAAGCGAATAATTCTCGTTCTGCCCAAGGCTCAGGCCGCTTGTAAAGATCTCCCGAGATAATACAGTATCTAAATCGCTACCTAAGCCATCTAAATATACTATCTAAATTGCCAGTCTTTCTTACTATGTGCCAGACTCCACTCAAGGCTTTCTCTGAATCATCTCATTTTATCCTCACACTATCCCATGAACCATGGATTGCATTTGGCCCTGTTTTGCATTTAGGGAAACTGAGGCTTAGAGTGACGAAGTCACATGGATGGGGTTACATAACCAGAAAGTGGTGGGCGGTCTTGCTTTGGAGGCTGAACTCTGGAGCAGCTGTTCTCAAGTTTAATGTGTGTGTGAGTCACTTGGGAATGTTGTCGATATGCAGAGGCTGATCAGGAGATTTGGGGCAGGTGTGAGATGCAGCGTCTCTGATGAGTTTCTGAGGAGCTGCTGGGTGAGCAGATGATGCTGCTGCCGCCCCTAGGACTCCCTAGATTGAGGAGAAGGCATCTAGAGATGTATTCGGAAGGTCTCTGAAACGCCGAAGTGCGAACAAGTGTTCGTTCCCGCGGGCACCCTGGGGTCTGCACAAACACCATCCCAGCCACTGTCCCTGGGTCAGCAGATGGAGCATAAGTTAGTGCACATTCAGGAGACCCTGTGTTAATTCTTACAAAAGTACTGAGATAGATAATGTTACTCCCATGATAAAGATCTAGAGCCTGAGCTTTAGCCATAGGGTAACCGTCCTGTCAGATAGATAGATAGATATAGGTGGATAGATAACTAATTAAATGTGGAGCCAGGAGTAGGGTCCAGGTTTGTATGGTTCTAAATTCTATACTCATAACCTCCTCATTCTATGCCCCATGTAAGGAGGACAAATGAGGGCCGCAGTAATTGGGATGAAGCCCCTCTGATGCTAACCCTCACTAAGGTTACCAGGCACCGATGTTGGCCTGCTGGGTAATTGCAAGGTTGTCTAATGGGACCAGGGAGCTTGAGGGTAGAAGCGAGGAAGACCAGGGACAGCCATGGCCAAAGAGCACCCATCCTGCAGACACTCCGCCATGCACGTCCAGTTCGCTGCCATGCTCTTGGCAGGACGTGCTTTCTACTTTTTGCAGGCATCCTCTCTTCCCACCTTACTTGAGGATATGGCTGTTTTAAGGAGCAATTTAGCCACATGTTTATAAAGTCCTCAGCAATCATGGCCTGCTCTATAAATGCTAAATAATTACGGGGTTGAAATATAAAGAGTACATCTTTAAATAGGACGTTTGTCAGACTGCAATTACACTGCCCTAGCTGGCGAGCTCATAAAAGTCACACTCACATTTTCATTGGAGCACTCGGGAGCATTTTGCCCACATCAAGCACACGACGTGGTGCCCTTTGGGAGTAGGGGACATCAGTGCCCACTTTGCAGGTGGCTAGGCTGAGGCACAGAAAGAGCAGATAACTTAAGACCACATGGTGACGCTGGGCTGGTAACTGAGAAAGCAGCTCAGGCTCGCTTCTCTGACCATTAGGTGTGAGCGGCATGTTCTGAAAATGTCCTGTAGAGACCCTCCCTTCAGCATCTGGGCCAGGACTCTTGAAAGGCGACTTCTCTTCCCCGTCCTTTGCGAGCTCCTGTGCATCCCCGTGGGATTTTATTGCGCATCTTATTAACGTGTGGCGGATCTACAGTGGCCGAAAGACACGCACCTGTTAACCAGGAAGGAAACACAAGAAGGGTTTGGGAGGGGCTATCTCTGAGGAGAGGGAACAAGGACGCAGGCGGGGAAGAAACCTTTCTTTCATTCTATGCCCCTTTATGTGAAGTTTTCCCACGTAGGTCTGAAATCTGAAGAAACCACCGGGCCCTGGGCGCAGCGCTCCTGCATACCTTCTCTCCCCGCACCTGCTGGCCCCACTCAAAGGCTGAGCAGCCAGAGGAGAAGAGGGGAGGCGGCAGCGTGGGGTTCAACTGTGCAAACACTTGGTCCTCAGACTTGAGGGCTGTGGATTCCGCCCCCCGCCCTCCCCCACCCTGGGATGGTCCTAGGAGAGGCAGCCTCCCTCTCAGCTGGGATTTGATGTTGCTTAGAGCATGGCCTGTTGGCCAAGCCCAGCCCCGGGGTTTTCTGATTCTTCAGCTGCAATCTCAGCGTGGCAGTGACCACTCCCTTTCTCTTATTTAAGATCAGCAAAAAAAAAAAAAAAAAAAATCCCAAAGGCACAGATCGTGTGGTTCCAGGGAGTCCATAATTTGATCAAATCAAGCTTAATGTTTATTGATCTTTCAGCATAGAATATTAAACTTATTAACTCCGTGCAGAGTAGACCTCATTCGGGGCCATCATTTTTCTCTGTAATCTGGCCCGAACTAGATAGTTATTGAAATACATTAAAAATCACAGGGGAAAAAAAAATGCCTGTCTCCACAAGGTCGATAAGCTGCTCTTTGAATCTTGATGCCCTTTAATGGCACGGACCTGACAAAGTCATCCAGGCCCTTCTGAATTTACTGGGGAAGAGTTGAACATGACATTTCAGGTTGATTCCTTAGTCAGAATAGGCATGTTCTTCAGAATAGTGTCGACTTTTCTAATAATTTCAAAATATGTATATTTGCACTTAAGCTTCATTAAAGGTTTTCCAGAATCCTAACATATTTAGAAGCACAGTCATCACTGGCTATGAATTCGGCCTGCCATGTGATCACTACTATAAGGATAGTTCTCTTTGTTCCTTTTCAGAACTTTCTGCCATCAGTATTTTTTTTTTATGATTTAAAAACTATGTTGCCTTAGGGAAAATGGAATTAAGTGATTATTGAACACCTCAGTGTCACAAAGCTTTATATTAATATTTAGCTCATTTTATTCTTTCTATGCTGGACTGATGGCTGCCTTGTTGCTGTTTCACATGGCATCTTCCACATTCTCCAAGGCCATCCCCTGACGCGCTCAGAGGGTAGAGGCCTTGCGGTAGGAGAGCCCTCTGACTAATTCTTCCTACTTCCTCCCACTTGGAGTTTCTCTGGAAAACTTTCCTCCTGCCTCAGAAATGGACGTTCCTTCCCAGGCACGGGGTCCATCCTCCTCTCTCCCCTCTGGGACCTTGCTCCTTCAGCTCCATGCTTTTCCTGTCTCCGTTTCTCCTCAACCTGCAAGTATGCCCCAATCTTCCCCATCTTAAAAAAAGGAAGCAGCATCTTTGGAAAGATTCTCTTCAAGCTGCTCTTCCATTTCTTTGTCACAGCCTAAATCCATGAAAACATCCTCCGCTCTTGCTGTCACTGCACTTGCCCTGCTTTGCCCTCTCTCCTGTTCACTCCTAGCTTCCGTGCTGTCCATTCCCCATGCCAGTGTGACACTGTTACCCGGGGCGCCCCCAGGCACCCCTGATTGAAGAGCATGGTGGCCAGTTTGAACATCATCCTCATCAGTGACTTTGTCGCCTTTGGCACAGTTGACCAGAATTCCATTCTTTTCTTTAATTACAAAAATGATTGTATTGCTTTTATATATAATAATACCCATGCCTATGCACTAATGAGAATTTAGAAAACAGACGAGGAGGAGGAGGAGGAGGAGGAAGGGAAGAAGAAAAAGCAGGCACAGCGTTGAGCCAGGACAGTCATTGGAGTACGCATGGACACTCGCTTTATGAAAATGGCATCATGGGGCGCCTGGTGGCTCAGTCGGTTAAGCAACTGACTCTTGGTTTTGGCTCAGGTCATGCCCTCAGGGTCGTGAGATTGAGCCCCGCATCAGGCTCCGCACTCAGCATGGAGTCGGCCTGGGATCTCTCCCTCTCCCTCTGCCCCTCCTCCTACTCACTCTCTCTCAAATAAATAAATAAATCTTTTTAAAAAAGGCATCATGCCACACATCCGCTTTTGTAATTTGCTTTCTTAAGAACCTCTAACATTATATTTTAATTCCTTCCATGTCAATACATATATATCATCATTTTTTACAGCTACTTTTTAGGGCTTATAATTCATGCTGCCAAACTGCCCTCCTCTGGGGTTGACTCAGTTTACCAGACCACTAGAAGTGGAGTAGCCCGCTTTTCAGCACTTTTGCTGGCACTAAATGTTACACTTTCTATTTTAATATTTGCTAATTTGACAGGCAATTTTTTAAAAATCTGCATTTCTTTAATTTTAGGTGAGTCTTTTCTCATTTTCTTTTCTCCTCTTTGAACATCCTTCATCCCTGAAATCCTTCCCTTGGATCTGCAACTCTTCCAGCCTGCTGTCTCCTCCCCTGGACCGGCTCTTTGGTGTCCCCAAGCTACCTGTTCTCTGGACAACCTGACACATCAGGAATCTGTCTGGCCTCTTGAGTCTCTGCAGTTGCATGGTCGCTAGCAGGTGCAGGAACATGCTCCATACTTGACCCTCATGATGGGACCTCCACTCGTGATGCCCCACCTTTGAGTCTCTTCCCAGCCAGGCTTCAACCTCCCACTCAGGTCATACTTCCCCCAGAGATCATCCCAACACCCTCTTCTGCATCAGCTCTCCCTCCCCTCTTTTCCATTGACTTGGCTTGTGACTCCATTTCAGTGGTGTATCTATTCCTGACCAGCTAGGCGAACCCCTGGAGGGCGGACAGTGCATCTTCTCCTTCCCCTTCTCCTCTGTCCCCCCCTTTCCGCCCCAGTACTTAGAGCAGTGGGTCAAAGATAGTGTTGCTTAACAAATGTCGGACGGACCTGAGCTGGCACTCTGGGGATCGAGAGCATAAACCGTAAGAATAATCTGGAGCTAATCACTTCTTTCACTTGCTCGCTAATATTCTCAGTCTTTCACTCCTGAAAATTACAACTACACTGCAAATGTTATATTTCTGAGTCCCACTTCCAACCCGGCACCAAAATCTAAAGTCTAGATTCACAAACTTCGTGTGAGTTCAGCCAGGAAGAGGTTTCCTACCTTGTGCGTTGTGTTTGGGAGTTTCTAACCTCTGCCACGTGTGGCTCCTGAGCATTTGAAATGTGTCTAGTGCAACAGAGGAGCCAAAATTATTGACTTTATCTGCTTGTAATGAATGGGAATTTAAATTTAAATAGCCACACGTAGCTAGTACCTACCACATTGGAAAGCACAGCTGTGTACATTCTAGAAGAGGTACTGACTATTAAATTATTTTGATAAAATTAAGAGACATTTTGATTTTTCCCTTTTTTATAAGCACATTAGAGCTCAAACTGATAGGCTAAATATTGGATTTCATGTGATTTAATGCAGGGATCCTTATTAAGGTCAAAATGTGGACTTAACTTCTTTAAGACTTATTAATCCATAAGTGATCCACCCACCACTGCTCATGAATATCCCAGTGCTTGCTGGTGCCTGCCGGGGCCCCGCGGGTGTGTGTGTATGCATTTATCCAAGCAGAAATGTGCTCTCTTACTCAGCACCCAGAAGTTTGCGAATGAGTGTCATCGGGTCATAGATGCAGGCTCTGCTTGTTGTAGTTATCACATTTGAACAAAATCACACTGGGACGCAGACCCCATTATTAATTCTGTGTTTCCTTTTCCAGAAGGCAAGCATGCCGGATATTCTGAAACCTCTCGATCAAGGGAGTCCCAGATGCCTTACTAGCCCTGTTTTGAAGCAAGAGGATCTCTCATCCAGGCCAATTCCCAGCACTTTATTCTCAGGAGGCTTGAGACACGTGAGTCTCATCTAATTCCCTGGACCCATGATGCTTGCCTGTCAGCATGATGTCAGGTTGGGTTGGTAAGCGAGGGTAGGAGGGAAGTGTTGTCCTGTGGGATGAACTGGAACAGGACAACACAACTTGGAGGTAGTATTTTCCCTACACTGGGAGCGGGGGAAACCTGGCTATACTTTGATGGTTTTTCTTTTATACACACAGATTTAATAATAAATAATGGTATTTTTGGATGAGAAGTTTTTACTTTCAAAGACATCTAATTTATCAGGTATTTCTCTTACAATTATTCCTGGGTTGTGTCTACCCACAAGTCATGAAGACATCCTCCTGTTTTCTTCTAGAAGCTTTATGAAAGTTTCATTTTTATGTGTAGGTCTGTGCTCCAGCTCCTTGATGTCGTGAATGGTGGTGTAGGTTGAGGCTCCTTTTCCCACATGGATACTCCGTTATTCTAGCACCAGTTATTTAAAAAAGACTCTCATTTCCCCCATTGACTTTGGTATTTGTTGAAAATCAAGTAACCATGTAAGCATGGGTCTTTTTCTGGGTTCTCTGTTCTGCTCTGACCTCTCCGTGTGTGCTGTGGCGAGACCACCCTATCCTGATTACTGTAGGGAGCCGTGAAGTCAGGTAGCGTGGGTCCTCCAGCTGTGCTCTTCTTTTTCAAAATATTTTAAAGATCATCTCTGTTAAGAGGCAGGCCTTTTAGTCATTCATTTGTTTAGTTGAAAACATCGAAGGAATGCTGGCTTTATGCCTGAGATTGTGGTATGTGATGTGACAGAGCCTCGGAGGATGGGTCACCTCACTGTCATAGCTCTTGAACTTACTAAATAATCTTAGACAATCACAGACTCTCCAAACGTCAGAGTCCTCATCAAGGAAATGGGCATCAAGTGTGTTCTTTTTATTTCACTGGGTTGTGTTGAGAATCAAAATGCACTCATTCCGTGGTGTGTTAGAGTGGTTAAGAACTCAGCTTCTAGAAACCACCTTCTTGGTTTGCATTCCAGCTCCCCTAGTGTGACCCAGAGCACACCCTTCAACCTCTCTGTGCATTGGGGCGGTTGGGTTTTTACGGAAAATGGCATTCACTTTAGAAAATGATAAACTTCCCTCCGTCCCCCAACTACATGAATATCTGGTGAAACGTTAAAAAGTCGAGGCAGAAGCGGTCCAGACTGCGCGCTGAAGGACGGCTAACATCCCTGCCTCGTCTACTGACTGCTGGCGGCCCCCACCCCGCCCGTCACCGCGTGCGCCTGCCTCTCTCTGCGCCTACTCTGCACCCTCACTCCTCACAATGTGGGGCCCAGCAGTGCGGGCATCACCTGGGACCTTCCAGAAATCAGGGTCTCTGGCCCCGCCCCAGACCTACTGGGTCAGCCTCTGCAGTCTAACAAGAGCCACCTTGCCCGGGAAGCCTACCCCTGCCCTGCCCTGCCCTGCCCTGCCTGCCGTCATCCTTCCCTTCTCTCTGTTACTCATGGTCTCCTCACCTTCTACCGTGTCCTTGCTTTCCCTGCTGGGTATTGTCAACTGTAATTCCGGTGCCCAAGCTGCACCTGCCACGGAAGGAGCACTCAGCAAAAACTTGCGGGACCATGGCACGGCTCCTTACCCTACCGACTGTGGATGGAAAGCCTATTGTGTGCAAACTCCTGAGCCAGGTGCTTCCCCATCAGTCGTTTGCACAACGATCTTGCCAGGTGGATACTCTTACCCATTTCTGAAATGGGGAAAACTGGTTCCCAGAGGTCGAAGCGAACAGTAACCTTGGAGCTCTGACTCAACACCCAGGAGCTGTGTGAGTCAGGGCTCTTTGTGCTGGCCCCCGGATTTGGTGAGCTCTCCAAGGGAGGGGGTCCCCTGGCCGCACCCCCGGTTCAGCTGCACTTGCCTGGGGCGGACCCACACCTAGTAAACCTTTCCCACTGGTGGGAAATGCTGCAGCGGTGAGGAGAAGCAGGTGAGTGTGTGTCTCTCACCCAGGCTCGGTTTCTTAGGGCAAGTCCTTCGAAGCCACCCCGCAAATTCAACACGGTTCCCTTCTCCCTGTCTTCTGTCTGGTGTGCTCTGATTTGTGCCCTTCAAGTTACCCTCGTGAGGTTGAGTTATTCCGTGAGTACGCCTCACCTGTTCCCTTTAGACTGAAGCAGTGTTTGTCTGAGGAAACTAAACTCCCACAAAGCAAATACTGATTATTGCTTCGAGCCCAAAGATGTTGCCCGTTCTCCTGACAGACATTGACATTCTTTAAGAAGCAGGAAGTCAGAGCCAGAAAAAGCTTTACTAAATCTCTGCTTAGTACAAGAGGAGAAATACAAAGGGGCATTAAGTAGGGGAAACAACCTCCCAGGTTGTTAAATCAGTGCAAAATGAAAGCAAGTGCTATTTTGGGGGTCATCTTAGCCAAATTTAGAAGTGATACAGGTCAGTGTGGGCAAGGGTGTGGAGCTGCAGACGTTTATTCAGAGGAATATTTGTAGCTATGAAAAATAATGTTGAATATTAATATAGAAAATACACATTGGTAAATGAGCCTATAAGGTTACAAAATAGTCTTATAGTAGCACATATTTATAAAAACAAAATGGTTCTCCTACAGACATTGCAAACAAGTGAAAGGATTATACCAAAATTTGACCCCGGAATGATGGGGTGATGCTTTTCTCTTAGAATTTTTCTGGGGGCTCATCTGTATTTCCTGTATTTTTTCCATAAACGTGTAATGTTTTGGGAGGAAAAAAATAGTTTGCTTTACAAAAAAAAAAAAAGAAAAATCCAATCAGAAGGAGTGGGAACTTGGTGGTGTGAAGAAATACATTAATTTTTTAGACTTCCTACGGGAGAAAAATTCCTACCAGAGTTCCTGTCTGGTTTTTAATTTTGTTTATACTTCTGTTTAAAAAAAATCTAAAAAGGAATGCATTTATATCAGTGTTTTCATGCAGTTTACATTTTTCCTGCCAGAAGGTGTTGTGATTGGCAGGAGTGACCACGTGAAGTTCACGTTGGAACTCCTTAGATATAGAGGTTGGCAGAAGTTTGAGAGGGAGCAGATTTTTAACCAAAGAATTGAAAAGTCCAACTCCCCAGGTGTTTTCTTTAAAGATAAATTTGAGACGTGGGATGTCATCCTGGCATTTCGGTCACTTCTAAATAGGGACTGGCTCAAAACTGTTCACTTGGTCCATCATACAGAGGTGTGTGTGGAAATTCTTCATTTTTCCATTAATATTTCTGAACTTATCTGGCTCTACTGATTTTTTAAAAGAGTTGTATTTAGCTTTCTACACATATTAATGTGTTTTTGTTAAAAAACAGAATAAAAAAGGATGACTATATTATGTCCATTCATCAAATGGAATACTGTTTGGGAGTGACAATGAATGAGCCCAAACCACACCTGACCACATGGATGAATTTAAAAAACAGAATATGTGCATAGTAGGAATGCTAATTATATAAATTCCAAAATCAGGTGAAACTAACCAGTATGTTGTTTGGGGGATATATACATATGTATTAAAACCATAAAGAAAAACAAGGATGATTAACAGGAAACTTCGAAACAGCATTTACTCAGGGACAAGAATGAGAAGAGATTGGACGGGGCGGGGTGGGGGCAGGGCACTGCTGAGGTCCTGCTTATGTTATTTTTCGACAGCTGAGTGATGAGGCGCATGGATGTTCATTCTATAGTTACTATTTAACTAGAGGTGTCCATTATATGTACTTTTAAAATGTTTCACGGTGGAAAAAAAAAAAAGGAGAAAAACAAAGGAAATGATTTGCTTAGCTTACGAAGGACGACCACATTGTGTGGCATTTTCCAAATGGTAATGAATGTCCTATACTCAGTATGCATGGGGACGGTTCTAAGTCTCTACGTGCATTAACTAACTGAGCCTCATCCCAATCTTATGAAATAGATCCCCATTTTACAGATGAGGAAACTGAGTCTACAGTGGGTAAGAATATTGCTCAAGATCACACAGCCACTAAGTGTTGGGACCCGGGGCCGAATGGAAGCCTGTCTGGCTCCATGGCCACCATCTTGACCACTCGGCAGTAATGATCTCAGTGTGCTCTTGGTGATCAGGATTTTTTATTTATTTTTTTAAAGAATACAGTTGACGGTTGAACAACGTGAAGGTCAGGGACACTGACCTCCTGTGCCGTCGAAAATTCGTGTATAACTTCCAACTCCCCTAAAACTTAACTCATAGTCTACTGTTGACCAGAAGCTTTACTGATAACATTTACAGTCAGTTGACACACATTTTGAATGTTATATGTATAATGTACTGTATTCTTACAGTAAAGTAAGCTAGAAAAAAGAAAATGTTAAGAAAACCATAAGGAAGAGAAAACAGGTCTGCAGTACTGTACTGTGCTTACTGGAAAATTCTGCATAGTCAAAGCCACGTTGCTCAAGGGTCAGCCGCAGCTGTGGTTTCCGCTGACCCCTTGCTTCCTGCCTTTGTGAAAGGAAAGGGCATCGAGGCTTGCTTGCGGTTACCGTAGCTAACGCGTGCCCTTCGGAGAAATCACCGAATGCTCCCTGCCTGCTTAGCTAGTTCTCCTTTGCTTGTGCTCAGATTTACTTTTCTTTCAAACCCCAGCAACACCAATGGCGCGAATGAAAGTCCGGCAGCGTTCTTAGTAGCTCTCCTCGGCCAGCACTTCTGGGTTGCCTCCACGGGCTGCTCAAAGTTGCAGCTTGCTCCAAGATCCTGTTCTGGCTACAAAGAAAATAGAACCAGAAAACCTTCCCAAGGCAACAGTGGTAGAGACATAAATTATCTCGGGAATGTGGTTGACCAAAGGACGTGCTCTGCTGTCCTTTCATTATCTCAGGCTATACTTTCCCTGGCTAAGCGGGTACAGCAGCCGAATTGCTCAGAGACACTACAGTAAGCTGGTGGCCCAAGGAGTTCGGCACCTCCGTCCTCTTCCAGGTCTACTTCTGATTCTCTGTGCAACTTTTGGGTGGGTCCCAGCCCACTTTGAGCTCCCCTAATGTACTTATGAAATGAAGGATGAGTATTATAATGCTTTCTGGATGCATTATAATTCTGATCACCAAGCTGCATGAGCCAGGGGCAACCTTCTCCACACCCCGCAGTAGGGCAGTCCCCATGCCCGGTGTGAGTGTGTGGGGGTCAGATCTGCCCCGTTTTGTCACCTACAGGCCAGTAGTCCCGGGCCTGATGCGTTTCTCTGGGTAGCTCAGTTTCCTGCTCTCAGAACATTTCACACCTTCCCCAGTTCTTCTGAAACTCATTCAGATCTTCTACCCTGCTCCTCTTCCTCATTTTCAACAAATAAGCATCCTTTTTACTTTTCAAAAAAAAAAAATTAGCTCAGAATTGCCTAATCTTCTTGGTATCAAAATTAACGTCACTGGGTTGCCTCCACGGGCTGCTCAAAGTTGCAGCTTGCTCCAAGATCCTGTTCTGGCTACAAAGAAAATGGAACCAGAAAACCTTCCCAAGGCAACAGTGGTAGAGACATAAATTATCTCGGGAATGTGTAGGCTGTACCCAGCCTACTCTCCTTTCCCTCCTGAACAGAAGCAGCCAGTCACCCGAGCAATACCTGGGTGCCCACCCTCTCCTGCCCCTACCGTTTCCTCCATGAACGATAGCACATCTTTTTTTTCTCTGCCTTTATGGTTTTTCGTTTTTGTCTTGATTTTCAGCAATTTTATTATGTGCCTACATGTGGCTTTATTTAAAAATAGTTTGCCTCTGGAATCCGCAGTTAATGACTTAAGGAAGTTCTAGAAGATTAGGACGACCACCCGAGTGAGCCTTCTCACTTCAGTTCTGTGGCTCCTTCAGGCACAAGACCGTGTACCCCTTCATGCCATAATATTTACATAGAGCACTTCTAAATCAAAGTACTTCAAGTGCTTTCTCTATTCCCTTTGTAAATATTTACTGAGGATCTACCATGAGCCAGGCACTGAGCTGGGTGCTGGAGATGAAGTGAGGGCAGGAACGTTCAGGGCCCTGTGCTCTTGGAACTTCCAGGGGCACGGAGAGGTGGGTGTGACCCTCCTTCCGAGAGAATGTTCTTTTGCTTCCAGCAGACAGCTAGAGTGAAGGTAAACAGCCCTGACCCATCTGGTGTTGAGCTCGTTCAAAGCTGGGTGTCAGGCTTTGTGAGGACCGCCCCATTTCCTGTGGACTCTTGCTCCTGGGAAAGAAGCTGGGTGGGGGTGGGGGGTCCCCACTGAAAGTCTGGAGGTCACCAAGCGCCTGCTCTGTGGTGGGCTTCTCCAGGAAGAAGAACTTTGGAAAGCGTTTTTAAGTTTCTCAGTTGCTCAGTGAGAGCTTCCAAATCAGCAAAGCCCTTGAAGGGCAAAGAACCATCTAGTGTCTCTCCCACTTCGCTGCATTTCCGCTTTCTCTGTGAACTTGGCGGCTCAAGCTCTTTGTGCCTTCAGGGCCCCAGACACCAGTTTTTGTCTCCCAGCCCTTGGCTTCTGAGCCCTGTGGCTGCTGCATTTAGCTTGACTCTCCTGTCTTCCAGCTCTGCCGGCTCGCAGGGTTGTGGACAAATGCCTCAGAGGGAGACACAGAGCATCAGCTTGTGCCCCTGGGCTTCTCTAGTAGCTTGGACCCTTGGTCCTGGCTGTCCTGGGAGCCCTACGACGCCTTGAAACTGTTTGGGGCTTAATTCCGTTTTCTGTTTGTTCTTGGCAGAGAAGTTGCTACACTGCAACTTAACCTGATGTGGCCCGAAGTGAGGTCCCGGGACGAATGCCATGTTAATCACTGGAACTTCTGAGCCCCTGCATTCACGCCCTCCTTCTGCTCTGCCAAGCATCCCTACCGTTCCCTCTTCACTCTTGGGGACCTCCCTGATTCCTGCTCTCTTACCACTCCTTGCCTTTGTGAGTGTGAAACGTAAAGACTGTTCTCCACTCGAACCATTGTGTGGTGTTGGCAGATCCCATTTTTCAGAGCCAGTGACTGGGTGCGGTGAAGTTGGTTGGTTCTTGGCCTTAGTTAACTCAGCCCTTGGCTTCCGGCCCCATAGAGGTTAATTCTGATGAGTTGTAGGTTTGATTTGGTTTGGTTTGGTTTTGCTCTCTCTGCAGTGAGAGAGAAAGCCCCAGACTTTCTTCTTAGTTTCTTCCCAGGATGTTTCACAGCATGGAGGATCTCGCTGGGAATTAGAAGTGGAAATCCTTCAGGCTTCCCTATTTCTAGAGAGTCAGCACTGAGATTTCTGCCGGGAGATGGGGCAAATATTTAAGCAAGTGTAATATTGCGACAGTAGTTGGTTTGTCTCTTTAGGCATGGGCATTCCGTGCCACTTAGCCACATCACCTAAGCTCACAGTGCCTTAACTTATGGTGGCAGTTCTGTTTTTCATTGAAATACCCATAAAAATTTAGAATTTGGTGTCGTCTTTGGGCTACATCCTTTACACATTTTATTCCATTTACTTTTTTTTTTTAAGATTTTATTTATTTATTTGACAGAGAGAGAGAGAGCGAGAGCAGGAACACAAGCAGGGGGAGTGGGAGAGGGAGAAGCAG